GGTTCCCTTCAAGCCCTCACCTGCTGGTCAGTGTAGGAGTGTGTGGAAAGTACCCAGGGCTTGGTAAAGAATCCCCTCTAATTTTTACATCAGTCCTCAGCACACACACAAGGTCCAGAAGAATCCCTAATCCTTATATATTATATATACACTTAAACAAAGTCAACTCAATGTCTGGCATCAAAAATTACCTTGCATTGTAAAATAGGAAAATATCACTCACAACAAGGAGAAAAGCCAATCAATGGAAATGGTCTCAGAAATTCCTCAGATGACAAAATTAGTAAAAAATGAAAAAAAAAAAGAAAATGACATTAAAATCATTATTACAACATATTCTATATGTCCAAGAAGCTAAGGGAGAGAATGAAAATAGTTCTGAATGTGATACACATATACACAAATTGAACTTCTAGACAGGAAGTTGCAATGTCTGAAAGGGAAAATATAATGGATAGGATTAACAGATTAAATATTTTAGAAATGATTAGTCAATTTAAGGACATGGCAATAGGGATGCCTGGGTGGCTGTGGTTGAGTGTCTGCTTTTGGCTCAGGTTGTGATCCCGGAGTCCTGAGATCCAGTCCTACATAGGGCTCCCCTAAGGGAGTCTGCTTCTCCCTCTGCCTATGTCTCTGCCCCTCTTTCTGTGTCTCTCATGAATAAATAACATTTTTTAAAAAATAAAAAATAAAGACATAGCAATAGAAATTATCTAAAATGACACACAGGAAGAAAAAAATATTGAACAGAGTATCAGTTAGCTAAATTCAAGTTGCCTGATATATTTGTGATGGAATCACCAGTGGAGAAGAGGGGGAGGGGCAGAAAATATATTTGAAGAAATAGTGGCTGAAAAAAATCTGATAAAAACTAAATTCACAGGCCAAGGGAGTTTAATGGATAAATAAATAAATAAATAAATAAATAAATAAATAAATAAATAAAATCTTAAAAAAAAAAAGGCAGAGACTAGAAAAACGAAATCCACTGTGTACAAAGGAATATATATATATATATATATATATATGTACAGGGGAATATTATTCATCTTTGAAAAGGAAGGCTATCCTGACATATGCTACAACATGGATGAACCCTAAGGACATAATGCTAAGGGAAATAAGCCAGTCACTAAAGAACAGATACTGTATGATTCCATTCATATTGAAGTACGCAGAGTATCGAAATCATAGGGAGAGCAAATAGGGTGGTGGTTGCAAGACCTGGGAGACGGGGGAACAAAGATTTGGTATTTAAGGGAGACAGTTTCATTTTTGCAAGATGAAAAGAGTTCTGGAGGTGCATGTTTGCACAACAACGTGAGTGTGCTTGATGCCACTGAACTGCACACGTGAAGATGGTTGAGATGGTAAATTTCATGTTATGCATATTTTACCACAATTTTTAAAAAGAGAATTGGCTGCTTAAAGCAAAAATAACAACATAGTATGTGAGGTATATACAACAAATGTAGAAGTAGGACTTCCACAGCATGGTTAATGGGGAGGATGGAGGTAAATGTGTTGTGAGGTTCTTAAAGTTTTTTCTTTTTATTATTATTTATGATAGTCACACAGAATGAGAGAGAGAGGCAGAGACACAGGCAGAGGGAGAAGCAGGCTCCATGCACCGGGAGCCCGACGTGGGATTCGATCCTGAATCCCGGGTCTCCAGGATCGCGCCCTGGGCCAAAGGCAGGCGCCAAACCGCTGCGCCACCCAGGGATCCCTGTTGTGAGGTTCTTATACTTTACTTAAAGGCACAGCACATGTAGGTGCACCATGTGACAAGTTAAAAACCTATACCATAAATGCTAAAACAACCACGAAAATAACCTTACAAGAAGGTATTCCTAATCGGCAACAGAGAAGATAATACGGAATCGATAGAAAATGTCTCTGTCCACTGAAAAGGCCAAAAGTAGTGACATCCCAGTAGCAGCAAGCACAGGTATACATCTACAGCATAAATTATCATGTGAATACTTGAGATATGTGCAACTATGGCAATTACACTTCAATGAAGCTGTTTAAAATCAAAGCAGAATGAGCTGCCTGGGCAGGTACAAAGCTCTGTAATAGTCACCACATCTTTCCAAATATATCCTCTCCTCTTTTCCTTCTGGGACATAACAAGATTGCACTCTGTTCTCTTTGAAAACGGGTCTGGGCACATCAGTTGCTTTGGCCTGTAAAATATAGATGGAAGTGATTCTACTCACTCCTGATGGGATCATCATGAGCTAATGCACAATTAGCGCTGGTTCCTTTTCCTGTCCAAGTGACGGTGGGAGTGCGTGTGCCTATGAGACTTGGGTCAACCTGGGTGCTGAGTGCTCACAATGGAGCCAGCATGAGTGGGGCAGGTGGGTCTGAGTGAGAGATGAACTTCACTGTGTTAGTTACAGGCATGTTGGGAGATCTTTTTCACTGCAGATAACTTAGCCCATCCTGACTAAACGTTCCCTAGCAGACGTGTCCGATTACAGAGGTGTAGTTTTGGATGGCCTTAGAAGGCAGACTGGTCCACTGGCCTCTGAGGTCTCTTCCAACCTGAAGAGTTGTATGTCACAGGATTTTAACAAGGTCACCTTTTCAAGCCTCTACCTACCTGGGTAGAACTTGGCTCCTTCTCAAAGTAACACCTAGATATTTCTGAGTCCTCAAGGATTCAGACACAAATTAGCTTAGGTTCTTCAACTCTAGCCACCAAGTAAAGTCACCATGCCTCAGAGACTGTTGTACTCTCTACCAAGTTTAGCTCTGCCAAGGATGCCATGTCCTTTCATTCCCAGTGCCACTGCTTTCTTTTTCTAGGCCTTTTTAGAACTCCCTTCCAAGGGACTGGATAGTGCACTGTTCTGGGTCCAACCCTATGCATAGGAGTCTGAAAGGCTCTTCAGTCATTGTCATATGCCCACTGTCTCTACAGAGAGACCACTGTCCCAACCCATGTGGTCCTCTCTGCCAGTCCTGGGGAACAGAAATTGTTGTGAGGCTGGCAGCCCCCTGAAGTTCCTAATCAGTCATTAAATGTGAAGCACTGCCAGGGAGGAAAGTACCAGTTACTTGCAGGACCCACTGTCCTGAGGAAAAGCGGATAGGAAGAGTAGATTTTTTTTTTTTTTTTTAAGAGTAGATTTATTTTGGAAGAAATCTTTCTCCCTTCATTTCCTGTAGACAAATCTTCAATGTGCTTAGGCTTTTGGAAATCTACTTTTACTCTATCACAAACCTCCTCTAAAAAGAAAGGAGAAAATAACTGGAGAAAACACTAATTTTGCAGTAAGCTTTCTTTGCACACAATCAACAGCACCTCAGAATGAAAGTGGTCTCTGAGGGTTTTTAGGAGAAATTTATTTTCTCTCAAAGATGCAAAGTTACTAGGATGCAAAGGACCTTTCACATTATTATTCAAAAAACAGTTCCTTCAAATCTCAGCTTGAGTATTTCCTTTTCTAGTTGTGATATCTGGCTTTTATTTGCAAATGAAATGACTTCTTTGGGTAATTTTTCCAAAACAAATAGTTTTCCTCAAAGGTCTAAGTCTCTTCATGGTCCACAGAATAGAAAACTGTTCTCAACTTTGAAATAGCAGCTTAATTTTTATTTCTATCACTCTGTCCAGATTTCAGAGATCTTGTGGTCCGGTTTCAGTCAATAACCCAAGCAATCACTGTAATCCAGTGATTCCTTTCTTACCCTCAGAAGGTTCTGGCAGGAAGAAAACTTAGATCTAAAGAATGGCATCCCTGTCTTTCTTCTGAAATAGCTTCCATCAGGTTAGCCTGCTATACTCAATAGGGCAAATCAAAACTAACAGGCAGAAAACCAAATAAGACAGCAACAAAGTACCTCAGCCATTGAACAAGAAATATATACAAAATAATTCTAGGAAATTATCATTTTCACAATATTTCAGCATGGGACCTTCTCTGTGATTTAGAAGCAAGGATATATTTATTTGCTATTAGGATCAGAAAGAAGAACAAAATGTAGAGCCAAATGGCCATTGGGGAAGAGGGGAAAGGCCTCAGTGAAATCTGATGCCAATTTATATGGAGGATGGAGCCAAATGGACTTGGGAAAAAAAAATGTATTTACTAGCATTTCCCATAGTCCAAGTTACTTAGGAGCTTAGCCAAGGCCTATTTTTAGTATTCTACTATATCTTTTGAATGAAGTTGGGTCTTATGATGTGGCCCTGATCATGCTTAGATAGAGCAAACTCCCAAGCAAAATTCTCTTCGTAATATATATGTTTATCTCTGCATTTCCAGCAGAAGGGGATTCTGAATTCAGTTTTGCTCCTTAAATCAAAACTCCTAACCTTAGTTGAGAACCAAGAGATGCTTCCTGCCCATAAGCCGGACTCCCCTACAGTGGGAGGCAGAGGGGCCACCCTAGGGTGTTCCACAAGCGCTCCTTAAGCTGCTGACGGTTTTCTGCAGACACCAGCCCAGCCCTACAGGAGAGGCCCGGGAGTGGGCGAAAGCTCAGTTTCCACCGCAGGCAAGCCAGGCTCCTTGCCCACAGGGCTGGTCTCCAGCAGGACACCTGGGGCTACAGCCTCCGGGTTATACATTAACCTCCTGCCCCGACCGATCAGGACAGCTTAGAAGAAGTCTTTTCCGGCCTTCGAACTGCCAAAGACGACGCCGAAGTCGGCCAACCGGGCGGGGCTGTCTTCCCACCGCAGGCACTGCCACCTCTGCCCTAGAGCCGGAGCTCAGCGTCCCCAGGCTCGGTCACCCCAGCCGACCGAGCAGGGCCCTCCTCCGCAACTCGACTTCGGCCAGCAGCGCGCCTCCATCCGCGCCCGCATCCAGCCCCCGCGCCCCGAGTCCCCCGCCCCCGCCGGGCCTTCGGGATCCGAGGACCCGCCGCGAGCTGCGCGCGCACGCGCTGCCCTGGCGGGGGCCGGGCCTCGCCCCCCTCTCCTCCTCCTCCTCCTCCTCCCCCTCCTCCTCCTCCTCGCGGTCCGCGCCGGGCCCGGCGGGGGGCGGGGGGCGGGGGCGGAGGCCGTGCGCCTGCGCGGAGCCGGCAGTCCGGCAGGGCCGCAGCCGCGGGGTGGCCGGCGGTTGCCGTGGGGACGGCGGGCCCCTCCCTTCTCCGGTCCCCCGCCCCGAGCCGATCCCGCCGAGGCGCCGAGGACGACCCCGGCCCTCCCCTCCCGCCCGCCGGGCCCGAGCTGCAGCCGGTGACCCGGCGAGAGGCGGTGCCGCTCCCAAGATGTCGCAGACGGCCATGTCCGAAACCTACGGTACGAGGCCGGCGGGGCGCGGGGCCGGGGCGCGGCGGGGACGGGGGGCGCGGGGCCGGGGGCCGGGGGCGCCGGCCGGGCGGTGTGGAGCCCACTTACGTGAGCTGCTTTTTCAAGTTTTCTCCTGTTTTTCCCCGCGCTCACACCAGTAGGGTTTTCCCTTTCTTGGTCCAGTTTCATTAGCTCAGGGTTTGGGAAGCCAGTTCAGGACTTTGCTCTGCGCTGTTGTCCCCAACGAGGGATGGGAAGGACTTAGGGCGACGCCTGCATTCCTGTGTGCTCCTCGGATATTCCAGCTTGACCTTTCCTGGTTTGGAATTCCTTTCTTTGCCCTGGGATTACAATGAGAAGTAATCGATAGACTAATAATCCATGGCTTCCTGCGGAGACCTCTTGCCTCCTTTATTTCTGTTTCTCAATCTCTCGGGCTTTTAGTCCTTTCTGGGTTGCATTATGGCTATTTATAAATGTGCCTTTTTAAAACCATAAACACCCTGGAAGCAGAGCTCTGTTTAATCTTTGCTTCCCCTAAAGGGGTCTCCACAGATAATTTTTCGAGTAATCGAAAGCCTTTCCACTTCATAGACCGTTTTTGGGTTTGTGTTGTTTTAGCCCTGCGAGGTAAAAAATAAATAATATCGTACATGTCTCCTTTGCCAGGCTTGAGATGTTTACCAGTCACTAATCACTTGTTCAGATGTGTGCATTCTCAGATTAACCCCTAGATTGGGAGTTTTACAATCCCAGGGAGAGGTTCAAGTTCAAAAGTATGTACGTGAACTTAGATCACTCGTGCTGGCCTGCTGCTCTGGCAACATAGGTGGAAGGGCCTGATGGAGCAGGCAGGGTGCTGGGAGGCACTGTCAGTGCTGCAGGCGACACAACAGGCGTGGTTCTGGTCTCATGGAGCATGCAGTCTAGTGGAGGATACAGAGCTAATGCCATCGTGATACTACAGAATGAGTAGTTAAAGCTCCAGGCTGGAGTTCTGAAGGAGTGTGCTCTAGGAAAGTATGTTGGAAGGAAACCTGGCTCAGACTGGGGAGCCCAGGAGGTAGTTAGTAGCTGGTCAGCAGAGCAGAACAGCAGATGCCCAGGCCTGGATGGGAGAGAGGTGGAGTTCCAACATGGGGAGCCTAAACAGTGGAGCAGGGGTGAGGGTGTGGTGGAGAGGGCCTTTGGCAGGTTTCCACCTTTCTCCTCAGAGATATGAGGTCACAGCGCATGTGCTTCACCTTCAGCCCCTCCTATGACTTGTGTTTGCCCCGTTTTTGGGGCTACTTGGGGCATTACATCTATTCCTAGAAGGCTTGGGAAATCCTCCAGGAAGTCCATGGTGCTTTAAGTGTTGTCAGAGCTGCAAATGGTCCTGTGCATCCACGTGGTCTGCTTCTTCCCTTAGATAACCACGGAGATTTTGTGAAGAAGATACATTTCTCTAGCAATTTTTTGGCTGTACTTTTGCTTTTCTTTATTTTCAAGTGCTCCTTACCCCCTACGCTTTATTTCTTGAACCTGGATAAGTAGCATTAGATAGGGGTGAAAAGTCAAAATAAAACCAAATGGGGATAATAAGTTAGTAAGGAAGGACTTGAGTTTAGGAGTCCTTTTCATTCGTCTAGTATGAAATAACCTTGAGTTTAGGAGTCCTTTTCATTTGTCTAGTATGAAATAACCTTGATAAAATACTGCATATCTCTGCTTCACTTTAGACACAGTTAATTGAACTTTTGAGCATCACAGATTAACTGATTAAATGATGTTCAAAAGGCTTTCACCAATAGTATTCTAATGTCATGATACTTCCCAAATATGTTTTTGCTGTTTTTACTCACAATTTCATCTTTTCTCTCGTAGAGGCAATTAGAGAAAACTAATGGAATAGAAAATTCGTTTTTGAAACAGCAAAAGTAGCAGTTGAAATTGTGAACCTAAAATAAGAATCAACCAAAAGTCCTAAACTGTCACCTTCGTTTATCATTGACTGTATTTGCACAGCATTGTTCCCCAAAAGTAAAACAATCAGGTTCCGGCTTCCAGACATTTACCTCTTTGATAGCTAGTAAAGGAATGTGTGCCTAACCTTTAAACTCCTTCGTGCTCTACGCTCTTTTTTCTCCTCCAGAAAAGGAGTCTCTGTGTAGCTTGACAGGGATAGGATGAAAAAGAGCCAGTGCTTACACAGAGTACCACTAATTAGCTACATCTACTTGCTTTTTAGCATATTAAGGCAATGTTTCACCTTCCATAGACTGAGTAGTTTTTAACATTTTGCTGCCCTGAAACCAATACCACATACTGTATATAATATTGAATACTGTATATAACATTGTAATACAAAATTGAAATTTTAAACAGGTTTCAGATTGAAACCCTGGATTTTAATATCTCTAAACTGAAACAGTGTTTCCCAAATATTGTTAGATTTACAGCATTCTTAAAGCCTTGACCAGTTAGTATGGCTTATAACTTCCTGAGGAACTCCAACCATCCAAGACTTGGGAAGTCAGAAATCGGCTGTAACTAATGCCTAACACCAAGACTTGTGAGACAGAATTAACAAACTGAATAGGTAGTACCAAGCAGTAATGATCAGAAAGGAGCTAAAAAATAAGTGGTGCCTGAAATGCCAGAAAAAAAAATAATAAGGAGTAAAGCAGTATACCACTGAGGAAACATCTAAGATAAATTTCTACACTTTGGAGTTCATGGTTTCTATAGTAAATACAGTTTGTGAAACAGAAACATTACAAATTCTTAGTCTTATGCTGATTTTTTATTACAATTAGTCTTACTATTTTTGTGCCTTATTTTTTTTTTAAGATTTTATTTATTTATTTATTCATGAGAGAGACAGACAGAGAGGCAGAGACACAGGCAGAGGGAGAAGCAGGCTCCATGCAGGGAGCCTGACATGGGACTCGATCCCAGGTCTCCAGGACCATGCCCCGGGCTGAAGGCGGCGCTAAACCGCTGAGCCACCCGGGCTGCCCTTGTGCCTTACTTTAAAAGCACAGTATTAAAATATTTACCACCTAATTTGGAGAATTATCAAGATATCTTCTTTTAAAAATATATCATTATAGACTTTGTTGGTTGAATTGTATCTCCCAAAAGGCATATTTAGGTCCTAACCCCAAGGACCTGTGAATGTGTCCTTATTTGGAAATAGACATAATGTAATCAGGTTAAGACGGGTCCTATTGGATAAGGGTAGGCCCTAATCCAGTGACTGATATTCTTATAAAATGAGAGAAATCTGCATAGATAATGCAGAGAGAATGGGATACAAAGATGCAGGCTGAGATTGGAGTGATGTATCTACAAGCCAAGAATCACCAAGAATCACCGGCAACCACCAGAAGCTAGAAAGGCAAGGAAGGATCCTTTCCTGGAGCCTCTGGGAAAGCATGGCCCTACTGACCCCTGATTTTGGACTTTTAGCCTCTAGAACTGTTAGACAATAAATTTCTCTAGTTTTAAACCATCCAGTCTGTGGTATTTTGTTATGGCAGCCCCAGAAAACTAATACATAGGCTTTGGTAGTTAGAATATGATTCATGGAGAAATTGGGGCTTATTAGGAGAGGTAGAGTAAGGAGGTTATTTCAGGCAAAGGAAATAACATCTCTAAAGTTATGTGGTACCAATAAAGTATAAAATAACTTACTGTTAGAGAAATCACCAAGATAACCGTTACCTTGTTAATTTCTTGAAAGAGGGGCATCTGGGTGGCTCAGTTGGTTAAGTATCTGCCTTTGGCCTGGGTCATGATCCCAGGGTCCTGGGATCAATCCCCACATTGGGCTCCCTCCTCATCAGGGAATTTGCTTCTTTCTCTGTGTGTGTGTGTGTGTGTGTGTGTGTGTGTGTGTGTATGTGTGTATGTGTGTATGCATGCTTTCTGTCTGTGTGCTCTCTCTCAAAATCTTTTTAAAAATTTTTGTAATGCTCTCTCAAATAAATAAAATCTTTAAAAAAATTTTTGTAAAAGGGCATGTAAACAAGGTTAATGAAGGAAGCATATAACATCAGGATAAAGGACATTTCTATAAATTGAATACATTTATTATGTTTAATGTTTGTATTTTTCTTTTTCTCATTTGCTGAAAATTGGTGAACATTTTAAGAACCAGAGTTTGGGGAACACTACACCAGTGGGTCTGGAACTGATGGGCCTCTGAGCCCCCTGGTGTGTGAAGGTATGGGTTCTGATACAGTAGATGTGGAATGGATGGAGGTTCCACACCTGATCAGCTCCCAGGCCAGACAGGTACTGTTTGTTGGTTCAGGGCCCTATACTGTACAATGGCTCCAATACCATAGACTTTTGAAAACATTGTTCTTTAGAAAAGTAAAAGTTTGTGATAATTTTTCATGGTCATTTAAACTATAAAGCATTTCAGTCCTTACCTATGAATGTCTCACTCCTAAACCTTTATTTCTAGTCACATTCACTCAGGTTTAATATCTTATTCCATTTGGATGGCCTGGGGTATCCTAACACAATGTGTCCCAGACCCAACTGATTACCTACTACTCCCCAACCTTCTATTTGTCTGATGTATCCATTTGCCTAAGGAGAAAGTCCATTTTTAATTCTTCATCATCCTGTCTCCTGAGTCCAGTTGGTTTCTGTCTTTTTAAACTGACCCCTTAACATAGTTCAAGCTACCATTTACCCTATAAGAGACAAGGGAAGATGACGTTGGGGTCAGATTAGTGGATTATAAGGAAAAAAAACCCATCATCCCAAGGTTCTTCATCACAGTGACTTGAGCAGCGATGCTAGTTGCTACCACTCGTGGCATGGCAGCCGTGTAACTGCTTAAGCAGCATCAATAGTTGGCATGAACTCACTGGGCAAGGATGGACTTGGTGGTTTCTGGTAGGGGTGTGTTGGAAGGGGTCTTGGTCAAATTTATTTGGGGACCCAGACTATTGGTAACATGTGCCACAGCTTCATAGGAATATCATAATGATTTAAGTAAATGGTTGTGC